ATATCACACGCGTGACCCTGTGCAGGGCGCAAAACATGGCAAATTTTGACCTATTTCTTAACACATCTAAAATTCGTGAACATTTTTCCTTCTGGGGGTCGGTCTATTCCACATGACGATATCATGTTTACTGTTTTTGGGAAGCTGCAGACCTTACAAATCTGGACCTGGACAATATCAAAGGTTCATTATTTGTTTAACCGGGTGGAAGAAACACGCCGTCAAAGATGTTGCAAAATCGACGAATTTGTGATTTTTGCGAGGCGATAAGTTGAGTTGCGAAAGTTTGTGAAATGTTCTGTCACATGGAGGTGATAGGGCAGCATCTCTTCTTTACAGCCCTTTTCGCCGTTTGTTCCGCTCTGTTCCACGTTCAGAGAAAATCGCAGTTTCGTCTCCCGCCCGGGCCGGCCGGGCGGTTGGCTTCTGTCGCCAGTCATTTTCTGGTTTCAATTTTGTCAGATATGATTTTCGGGGAGCCAAAATCCTCAGGGACGCATTTTAAGAATGACTCCCCTACCCCCTCCTGTTTATGCTTCATCTGCCCCTGCCGGTCGTTTTCGGGATTTGATTTTGTCAGAATTGAGTTCCTCGGACCCAAAAGACCCCGAGTAGCGATTTTGACGTCGATTCCTTCCTCCTAGAATTTTTATCGCTTTTTATGCTTCTCAGCCCACTGTGCGGCGCTAGCCTGCCTTCGGCACGCAATAGCTCGTCCATCGTCGATTTTTCTAACTTGTTGCGTGCTGGCGTGCTGTCAGGGATAGACACAAGGCAACATAGGAAAAGAGGAAATGCTGATCTTGCAGACGCGCTCGCGGCGTCCGGCTTGGCCGCGAGTCGTCAGTCGTAGGCTGAGCCTCGGAGCGGCAGCACCTTTCGGACCTAGCTTGGTGAGTGGGAGGTTATCCAACCCTTAAACACTGTGTCCTCATTGCCGTACGAACCCCGCTCCATGCCGTTCAGGAACACCACGACTAGCTCCCCTGACATGGTGGAGGTGCTGGTGCAACTTGTCCATGCCGTTCAGGAACACCACGACTAGCTCCCCTGACACGTGCTCCGACCCCCAGACCCCGCCTCATTCCAGATAGAGTTGCTTCATCTGCAGATAACTCGATCTTGACCCTTGTAACTTTTTAACTCATCAGGGCTAGCCCCCCCCCCCCCCCCCTTTTTTTAAAGCAGATGCGCTCTGCCTGCAGAAAACTCGAATTTTCGCCGTTTTTTAGATTTTTTCGGCTGTTTAAACTAAACCAGTTCAGCTAGGATAGTGAAATTTTGCGTGTGCTGAGCCAAGGACATACCCAACAAGCTAGGGCCCGCCCTTCCGTCGAACCGAGTTGCCAGCTTCGCTTCGCTGCGCCGGCAACTCGGTTCGACAGGGGGCCGGCCCAGCTTGGCCTGCCGGCGGCCTTTCCTCGGGCCTTCGGCCCTCGCATCAGACCCAACTTGGCCAGTCGAAGGCCCGGGCCTTCGGCCCGCTCACATTACACACCCCGTGAGCGGGTAAAGCAAAGTTATCGATGTACCATCGTGACTTAGGCCCGCCCTTCTATTCACAATATGCAAAAGTCCTTACAATATTTACTCCAACTGTCCTTAGAATATGCCCATTTCATTTGTCTCTTAGCCCTCATTCCGAAAATACCCATATTTGCCATGCTACTGCAACTCCTTGCAATAGAGGCACAGCAGGAGCGCAAAACGAGTCCGTCGCACTTTTTCCCGTAACTCATAAAGGCGGGCTCCTGGACCCCCCTTCCGACCCCTCGTTGAAGAGGTCTTGCCAAGACCTATCGAAAACTTAAGTAAAAATTTTCAGTCGGTCGACCCCCTTTTTTCAAGATCCTGATGTGACTAATAGACGAAGTCGGGCTCCTGGACCCCCTTTCCGACCCCTCGTTGAAAAGGTCTTGCTGAGACCAATCGAAATCTGCAATAAATTTTTTCAGTCGGTCGACCCCCTTTTTTGAAGATCCTGATCTGGCCAACTTGTAAAAGCGGCCGATGGGGTCGGGACCAGGTCCATTCATCTTGTCTCGTCGCCCCGATTCCAAAAATACCCCTATGTGCCCTGCTAGCACCAACAATGGCGGAAATCCCCCTCCCGCTCATGTAAACCATGATGTACCTGCCGCAGCCCTTGTGCGACCCGGACGGGATTTGCACCACCGGATTATTTGTTTGGACGGTACTCCTGAAGTACCCTCCAAATCTGGTTACTCTAGCTCAACTCCTTCCTTGTACACAGACACCAACAACGACAACAACGACAACAACGACAACAACGACAACAACGACAACAACAACACACAGACATAAAGGCAAATGCATAGGCCCCCCCCTATTTTTTGAATAGAAGGGCGGGCCAAAAAGTGTGCAAAATCTCACCGAGATCGGCTGAGCCGTTCAGGAGTAGTAGTGCGGACACACACACACACACACACACACACACAGACGGACAGACAGACAGACAGACAGGAAACACTTTTCAACCCCACTGGAGTAACAGGCTTCGCTATCGCTCAGCCAAAAAATCTATGAGCCCAAATTTCTTGAAAAGCCGATCTCGCTACATTGTGGGCCCCTTTAAGCAAATTTGTAGCTCGCGTCCTGAGCTTTTAGAATATGTCAAGAAGACTTTCGTAATGACAAAAGTGATCTTGAAAAAGCCAAAAAAAGGAGAAAAACTGACATTTCAGCAGTAAAACTCAAATGTTAAAATTTTTAAGACCAAATATCAAGAGCAGCCGCACTTGCTACAGTGTTGGCCCGTTAAGCAAATTTGTAGGTCTCGTTCTTATCTTTCAGAATATGTCAAAAAAAGTTTCCGATTCACAAAAGTGCTCTTGAAAAAGCCAAAATACGAGTAGAAACTGACATTTTAGTGGAAATGATGAAATGTCAAAATCTTTCAGGCCAGATATCTTGAACAGCCGATCTCGCTACAGTGTCGACCGCTTTCACAAACTTGTAGCTCTCATTCTTAGCTTTCCTAATCGGCCAAGGAAAGTTTCAGATTCTCAGAATTGTTTTCATACGAGCCAAAAACGAGGAAAAGAGCGTTTTGGGACATTTTTTGCGTTTTGCACGGTTTTTGACCCACATTTGACCAATTGACCCGGTTTTGATCGAAAATCACAATTTGAACCATAAACCATACTCCCTTGTCCTCATAAATCGAAAAAACCCCAGAAAGGGTCATGTCGCACTATTCACCTTTTGGCCGCACTACGGTACCTATTTATAAGGATCGTAAGGATCTGAGGGCAGAAGAGTGAACAGTTAACTTAAGTGAAGGGACCATTTTAGCACAAAATTAACAAAATCGGCAATGGTCACCTACTGGACCTGCTTGTTGGGTCCGGAATGCCCCGCGTTTCAAAACAACGTCATTTCCTTTTAAAAATTATATAATACTTTGTTTGTTTGCAATTTTATGCAAGACCCATTGGAGAAACTTTCTTAGCATATTCTGATTAACAAGGTAGGTTTACGCCAGACCACGTCTTATCGTAACAGGCTTCGCGGTGTCTCGCTGCCTGTTCCTCCAATCCGCGCCTGGCGTACCTACCTTGGCCTGCGGCGCTTGCCTGCCTTCGGCAGGCAATGGCTTCTTCACCGTCAGTTTCTTCCATCTTGTTGCGTGCTGGGGGGTCCTGCCCCCCAGACCCCCCTTTATTCTGGATAGAGTTTCTTTATCTACAGATGACACGATCTTGACCCTTGTAACCATACGGTTCGTCCGGGCTGGGGGGCGAAGCTCCCCAGACCCCCCTTACTTTAAGGCAGAAGTGATCTGCCTGCCCCCAGACCCCCTTACTTCAAGGCAGTAGTGATCTGCCTGCAGAAAACTCGATTTTTCGCCATTTTTAGGTGTTTTTTGCCTATAAAAACTAAACCAGTTGAGCTGGGTTAGTGAAATTTCGCGGGTGCCGAGTTAAGGACACACCCAAAAAGTGTGCAAAATCTCGCCGAGATCGGCCGAGCCATTCAGGAGGGGTAGTGTGAACACACAGACACACAGACAGACAGGAAAAACTTTTCAACCCCACTGGAGTAATAGGCTTCGCTATCGCTCAGCCAATAAGCAAGAAGCAAGGGAGAACTTCATTGCAGAGTTTTCCAAAGGTAAAATATACATTGTTTTTTGTCTTAAAAGTGGTGTTGTGGACACGAGAGCAAACAGTTTGAACAAAAAAAAACCAGATTCAACATTTGAAAAGTTATAAAAAGGGTCGATAAGCATTGAGCCCGACTTACCTAGGACCACCGCTGAGGCTCTAAAGGGAAAAAAAAATTGAAAATTATTAGTCATTACAAAAATGAGGCAAAATTATCTTTATAAGGTTGACATTCTTAAGGAGGAAACACACTTAATTTTGCCAAAAACTGCCATGTGAGATAGCTTATAAATGTATTGCAGCACGTTGCTCTCTCTTAACACTTAAAGTGCTTGGCAAAAGGGTCGTGAACAAAGATTTACTACTGCCGCGCAGGTCAAGACATGCGTCCCTTCATAAAGCGCCCGGCCCGGCGCACAGTGATGCAAAACCGGAAAAAGTTACGCAAAATTCTAGAGTGCCCTGATTACTGCCAAATTCCAGGCCCCGGGTTTTTTCGGTCACGGATCTCATTTCTGAAGAGATTTTAAGAGTGCGACCACCACAGGGGCGGATCTAGGACTGGTAAGAAGGGTAACGCTGTACCGCTGCGCTAAATCATTGTCAAATTTTGTGCAAAGGTGTATAGTGGGTCGCTTACTTCTTTTCTGAAAAAGTGCAACATGTATGACAAGCACAGGGGCGGAGCTAAGGCAGTTTAGGGGGAAAGCACTGTTACGCTGCGCTTGATAACAGCCAAATTTTGTGCAAGCATGATTTTGGGGTCGCTTACTTCATTTCTGAAAATGTTAAATGTGAACGACCATCACAGGGTCGGAACAAGAGCTGCCAAGAAGTAGTGACCATTAAAGTTTAGTTTGGGCAATGGAAGAAGGTGAGTCATGTGTGACAATGCCGCGACTTGGGGCCGATTTTCTCGAAAAGCGCATCGTTTCGCAACCTAACACCACATAGACCTTGAAGTTGGCCTCGGGTATTACCATGTGGCTGTGACAGACTGGTTGGCAAGTGTTCGCAACTCGACAAATTCCACTTAAAATCAACAAAAAAGACGAATTTGACTATTATTATTGAGCGAATATTTGGTAACGGAGAGCTCCGAGGTTAAGCGCTGCACACGCAGTGGATTTCTTAGGCTCTTAGCTTTTTAAAAGCATCCAGTATGATACACTTTGTTGTACAGATGCGACAATAACAAACAGTTTTCGCACCGCATGCAGCTTCATTTGGTTTTTGCCTCAAATTGCCCTACTAAAGCGCCATTTAAAGATAGGACCTTGCATTTTTTGCTACAAAAGAGTTCCACCTCCATGTTGTTCGATCTCTCCTGCGCTAAAAATCGTCAACCCCCTTGCCGTCGGACAAAATCTACAAAAAATGCTTTTTGCGCGATCTTTTCCGGCTTTGCAACACTGTGCGGCGGGTAGTTTTGCCAACACAAGAGATATGGGGCATGGACAGAAGTCCTTCAACCTGCGCGGAGGGGCAAAACTCGCCGCTTTTAGGCATCCGATTGACGCTAGTAATAGCTTCTTACGCTTCTTTTGATACGCAAGATGCAGAAGGTTCTGACAACGTGCAACAAACACATTTGTCGGTTTTTCGCACTAGTCATTGTTATGCCCACTTAAAAATCTCACACAATAATTGATAAATGTGTTTTTCTAGGTGCTGATACGAAACTTTTATCTTTTTTACCCTGACCCAGGATAATATCCCGCAAGGGCTCAATGTCGATGAAATTCGCGAATAAAACAATGTAGAGGAGGGGCAAAAGTTGCCGATTTGTATAGCTAATTTTTCTCTTACTGAGAGAGCTGACGATGAAAATGAGGTCCGGTCCAATTGCCCCTGATCTAGTTTTTAAATCCTGTAAGGTCTTAACGTAAACGGAATTCACGAATTTCCAAGTGTCTTTTTTGTATCGCTTCTCTTTATGTTATTAAATATGACATGTCTTATGTTTTAGAAATTGATTTGGGCCCTTTGAATCCTTAACACAAAAGATATTGAATCAGATTGAAAGAATATCAGAAATATCGTCATTGGCCAATCATGTCTGAACTCTTGATAAAATTTACACCGATGCTATGAACGGAGAGCTGAAGATATGTAATATTTGGTGCTCTGCTTCGGCTTACGCATTGCATAAATTGTCAAACGAATTAGAGCCAAGCAGAGCCCAAACATTCCTTTAACCGTCAAATACCTAGTTCAATTTAAAAATGACACTTTTCATCTTTTTTTGCGTTTTGTCCCATTTGTTGTCATCCGTATTACTTACCTTTTCAAGGCCTGTGAAACAGCCACAGGGCAAATCTGCTTTGATGATCGACGTGACGAAACTCCGCTCAAAACCCAAACTTGTGAAGATTGAGAAGTTTGTAACGATGGTGTCTGGATTTCCAACACTGACGACGCCCACCAGCGTCCAAGTAGTGCCGTCACGGACTACTACTCCACCTCCACTGTCCCCTTCAACTGTAGTGGCTCCTGAAAAAAAGGGAAGAATTTTCTGTAAAGAACTGCCTCTGATGATTCACCTTTAATGAAATCTGGACCCCACCGATACCCTTGCGTTCCCCTTAATGTGCTGTTCTTACAAAACGTGTTTGCTTTTTTACTGAGAATGAGAACGTCATGATCAATACCCAATTTTGGGCGAAAATTGTATGTTTCTTTGCCCAAATTTGGGTAAGGAAGGGTGTGTCAGCTACCTTCATAGCTCCATACTTTTATGACCCAAAGTTTGGGTGAGCAAAAATTCCTCGCCCAAACTTTCAATCATCTTCATGCCTCTTACATTATCAGTGCTGTCCTTACTCTGGTCCTGCTGATCTACGATTTACAGGAGCTAGTTTCTAGGAGGTAAATTGGTTATGTTTTGGTTCGTAGTAGAGGCTAGTTGGTTTTGATAAAGAATAAAAAACTGACCGGCGTTGGGCAATATGACAATGTCATCAGGATTTTACGCAACCCTAAGGCAAGCTCAATGTGCTAAAATGTTGTCACAAATAATGTCGTACCAAGGAACTTTTTGGATTTTACGCCTTTTCTTTCTGAAAAACGTGGTATTTCAAATAACTTGTTTTGGATGGCACCGAAATCTTCCTTTTCGGCCCGTTCCGTGTTTAATGAATTAGTAAACCGGAGGTTGGTTAGAAAGTATGATGCGTGCGTTTGTCCCTCCCATCGTGGGTGAAAAAACTACATTCAGTGCGAAAGAGTCGGGAATTTGAAACGGTTTTAAAATCAAATTTCTTACAAATAAACAAAAGGAAAACTCGAAATCAGCATGAGCTACTCAATACGTCGCCTTATTAATTTCGAGGAGAGTTTAAAGATTAAAAGCTATAGTTTTCTTTACTTTTTCCAAAAAATAAGTAAAACCATTACAGTTTATGCACCCTTCCTCGTGATCGATGACAGAAAAGTTGCAATACACATTTGCAACTTTAGCTCATCCCAAACATTTCGAACAATCGTGAAATTTTATTGCAGTTTATCTGATTAAAATCTCGGTAGGCCTCTTTTTGTAAAAGGTCAGGACTCATGTAACTTTCGTATAAAGCACCTTGAATTTCACAGAAAACAAAATCAGACTCGAATTAAAAATTTGGGTCGATTTAAGCTTAACAGGGAATTGAACCTGGGTCTGAGGTCAAATTGGATGTCATTTGCATTCTCAATACCCCCGAATACGCATGTACCGATGCTTAACGCGAAATAAAACGTCTTGTTCATTAATTATTGTCGTTTTCGTCATCAGCGCCCTCAAAAACATCAGAAACAATGCAACAACTCGTATAAAAACAATGTTTAAATAACAGGAAAAGTAGCGATATACATCGGCAACTTTGGCCCGTCCCGTACATTAAAAAAACGTACGAATTTCGCCTACGTTTGACCCTGACGGAAATTTAACATGAGTCTGGGGTTAAAATAAATGTCGTTTTCGTCATCAGCACTCTGCAAACTGAAATGTGTGCATGGCACGCTCTATTTGGAGCATGCCAAGAAACACGCTTTAAATTGGAGCGTGCTTGGTAGGCACGCTTTAAATTGGAGTGTGCTTACCAGGCACGCTCTAAATTAAAGCGTGCCTGCCAGGCACGCTCTAAATTTAAGCGTGCCTGCCAGGCACGCTCTATTTTAAAGCGTGCTTAGCAAGCTCACTATAAACTACAGCATGGACGGCAACCACACTCCTGATGCTCGTAACGGCTTTTATTAGGCACGAAGTAGCCTTATAGTATACCCCCAGGATTCAGCCGGCCCGAGATTTGATTTGTATGGCCCTTTATGCATTTCCGAAATTTTCTATACGATTTTAATGAGGTTTTGCAGACTTGTAGAATTTGGAACGCTGATTCTTATGCTGAAATGTGGTCAAAAAGTTAGCGGCCAATTTTGAGAAATTTGCTGTCAAAATCGCCGTTTCCATGGCAAAACTCGACTCGTCAAGGGAAAAGAAAGGGAGTGGGGGGAGCCGAGCCGGGGCGGACCAATAGCCGAGCCTCGTTTTGGGTCTGTACAGGTTACTCCAAAAGCTGAAAGAGCACGTCCGATCTGAAAAATCTCTTTGACTGCAGCTAAAGAAGAGGCAACAATAGAATTGGTGTCGTTTCGAACGCAGTTTTTCGGGAAAAACTACCCAATAATACTTCTAGATCGGAGTGTTTTTGGACATGCGCAGTAGGTTTGCAACCTGTTTAACAGTTTAACCAACTGTAGCATTTGAAATCTGTATTAATTTTGGTCTGTTTCTTGTTTTTTCTTTGTTTCCTGCTTATGAAAATTCATATAAAACAAATTTTCAATTTAATGTGATAACTTTCTAAAAAAATACTCACAAAAAATTAGCAAAACAAAAGTTCTTTTTTTCTGACATAAAGTTTCTCAAATATTACTTTTTTTTCTGTCAATAAAACAATTTTGTTGTTGTTGTGATTCAGTTAGCACTAGGACCACTTCGCTCCACCTCGCGACTTGCAGTGCTCCTGTTCCTCGAACAAGACTCACCCGCGTTTCGAAACCATCCCTCCCGAGTTTATGAAGTTTGTCAAACCAACCGTCGTGGTGTTGATACGTTGTGAGGGAGAACTGTTACACAGAATGGAAGAAAACATGACTAGAGAACCATAGCCTTTTGAAACAAGCCAAACAATTCAACGTCAGCAACAATGGAGGGGCAGTTTTAATGCGCGACTGCTGGTGCTTTCAGCTTCGCGATTTTCGCAAGGGCGCAGACGCCGAGAAACTAGTTGCCAACCCGTGAAAATTAATTTACTGCCTTCTTTCTGCTAAGAACATTTTAATAATGATGGACTTTAAAGATGTTCCATTGTCAGAACACTGCGGAATACATTAGCATTGGAATTTTTTGAATTTACCAGCATTTTGATTTCTATTTACTGTGAAGTTTAAATTTCGACGAGTGGCACATCGACCACATTGGTACCACAGCCACAACTTCACAACACCACTTCTTTTCTTTCTCCACACTCTTGCACAAATCAAATTGACTTCGTGACTCCTAGGATTTCTTGAAATCGTATTTTTTTTAAATTATTTAAGAAATATGTACTAATGCAAGGTTTCCATTTTATACTTTAAAGAAGTAACATTTCAAGTCTTGGTTATGCTGAGATGTGTTTTACGTCAACAAAGCTTCTCCGCTATTTTCACAACTATTAATGTATAAAATGGCACTGGTGCAACGAGTTAGACCTGGGAGGTTTCTTTCAATAACCATGGAGGAAACAATAATTCAAACATTACTCATCCAGAAATACACATACAGTGTATGTTCGACATGACACTAGTTACTCACTCTTTTGACTGCCCAATAATTCCTAGCAAAGTGACCTAGCCCTGTTGCTGGGTGGTGAAGGGCGAGGCTGCAGTCGCACGGAAGGAACACAGGGTGATAGTAGGGTATTGTCGAAATCGTACTTTTTATCGGAACTCGGCCAAACTTCGGATTTAGCACTCTTTCGGGGTCCCAAACAATTCTAGGTGAGGAAAACGGCAAATCGATAACTTTTCAAAAACCGTTTTGGGTTAGGTATTTTACGTACGGAGGAGGGCCGTGTTTACTATTGACAGCCTTAGCAGACGACAAATGACGATCGACGAACCGCGTACAGCGCCATCTCTCGGTGAGTCTTGCTACTACGTCCACCACAATAGCTCATAACAAGTCAAAAGGGGAATGCCGAGAATCATGTTGCTGTCAGAGTGTAGAAATATCAAAGAAATCTATGAATTCTTCAGGCAAGAGGATAAGACAGTCATACATTGTCTTCAGGAAGAGGGATTTTTGAAGCCACTGGAAAGGTGCAAGAAGAGAACTTGCCGTACCTTGTAAGTGTTATACAAAAATAAAGCTTACAAGGGAAATTACGCTGCTTACTGTAGGAAATGCTCCAAGTTTTCCAATTTGTGTGATGGCACCTTTTTTGAGGGTACACACCTGTCATTTGAGGACTCCTTCATTAGCTTGTGGTTTTGGGTGGCTCATGTGAGCTCCAACGATGCCAGCAAAGTGTCTGGCATCACTCGGGAAAGTCTCGTTCAATACTATAGATACTTTTGGTAAATTAATTAAATTTTATCAGTTAACCAGTGATTTAGAAGCCTGTTCGTTATTAGTATTCTTTTTTCAGTGACATAGCTTCATGGAAAATTTTAGAAATGCTGCACCAAGAGCTTGGTGGGGAAGGAGTTATCGTCCAAATAGATGAAAGCGTGATCACAAAGAGGAAGTACAACAGAGGAAGGGGAGTCAGGAAGACAATAAAGGAAAAGTGGGTGCTAGGAATCTATGATTCAGAAGCAAAAGTTGGTGTTGTCCTTTATGTAGTGAAGAGAGACAAAGCCACTCTAGTGCCCCTAATAAGGCAATACGTCAAGGAAGGCAGCCACATCTGGACAGATGGCTGGTCCGCCTACAAAGGACTTGACAAGTTCGGTTATGTGCATCAAACTGTGAACCATTCAAAGGAGTTCAAAAGTGCGGATGGCACTTGCACGAATGGGGTTGAGGGCTATTGGAGCAGGCTCAAACAATTTTGTAGACACACTGAAGTGTTGAGGAGTAAACTTTTAGCGGAGCACATAGATGAGTTCATGTACCGCCAACACTTTAGGGGAGATACTGCTTTTCGCTTCAGAGCGTTTCTCATTCACATGAAGGAACGTTACCCTGTTGGAAAATAGAAGGCGTAATTATTTGAGACTCTTGACTTTGTATGATGACCAGTTTAATTTGTACTGAGATTATTTTTGTTTCTATTAGTACAGTAAGTTTCTGTCTGTGATATTTATTTACAATGGGTATAAATCACCCTTCTATATAATACAAAACACTGACTGCTTATTTTTCTAAGTCCTTCCCTATAACATCACATATTGTTGTTGCCCTGGCCTGGGTTTGCCATTAAGGTCAGCAAAACAATTCAAATAAGTGTTAAAAGCCCAATGTTTGTTTC